GAACTTTTACTTTGGTTCCGTATTTGGTTTTAGGTCAAAACTGAACCGAAAGAACCGAACTCACCCCTATGTGGAGGAAGATGGATTAGGCTGTATAATGATAAGATGATTAATAATTAATTTACTGGAATTTACGTAACCAAATAGTATATGTACAAGAAAACGCATCCAAGTACCAACAACATGTAGCAATGCAGCGGTCATGGAGAGCTGTTGTAACACAGTGGTTGCGGCTTCGATCCTGTGCTTTGACTTCTATTTTTCTTCTTTTCCTTGCTACTATGGGATGCAATTAAAACAAGCTCCAACTAAACTATCTCAACTTTGACACTAAGGGAGTGTTTGCGTTTGAGAAATGATAATTTAATTGGTTATTCATTACATATTAAACACTGATTAACCTGAAAACTTAATTGCCAAGCAACTTGTGGTTAGATGACATCACAGGTTCGAAACTCACCACAGTTAAGAATGTTGACATTTAACATACGAGATACTATGTATATAAAGAGAAAGTACAACAAAAAAAATTGAAATCTTAACTATTGACAAACATAAGCTCAACCCAAGAATCATTTACCAAACATAACTTTTGACAGCTTAGCTAGTCGAACCACTGAACTTAAAAGTAGTCAATTAAGCTGAAAAAGTGGCTAATAGCCATTAATCACCAGCCCCCGTCGCCGCCCTGTCACCGCGGCATCCTCCCGCCCATCCCTGCGACATCCGCCGCCCTGTCGCCGCGGCATCCGTCAACCCATCACCACTCGAAACCCGCCATCAGCACCGCTCTACACCCGCGGTCCCCATGCGTCACGGCCGTCCGCATGCTTGCGCCTATGATAAGTCCGTATTTCGACACGCATTTGGTGCATGTTGAAATCGTCTTTTTGATGATTTTCCTAGCTTTAAGGTGACATAAAATCTCAATTTTAGCTCAAGTCATGTTTATCAGGCGTTGGTTCAGGTCTTGTATTGTTGGAGTCAAAATTAGGGTATTTGAGCCCGACACCGGCGCTTGAGAAGCAATCGGGACGAGTTGAGAAGCATTCGAGAGTGATTTGAGAGCTTTGGAGGTCACCGGGAGGTTCACGACAAAGTTTTGACGACAAAAGAACTCTAGATTGGCTACGGGATCAAAAGAAGACGAATAGACCTTGAAAACGGCGATCAGGATGACGTTCTGTCAATCGTTCAAGCATATCAATTTGTAGAAACACCCAAAGTCTGTGATTCAAGTTCCATATGAAAGTTTACTTCAAGGGCTACAAATCATATGAAGACAACATGGCGAGAATCTGAGAGGAGAGAGGTGAAAACAGACAATGAAGTCAGATAATCGCTGTTGAGATTTCAGAATGCGACCTTCTACCATTTTATTCATATCTTTTGATTGGATGATCCAAATCCAGTTTTGCAAGTTGTGATGGATAGAAGACTTCATTAGATACAAATTTTGTGAAGAAAGCATTGTCAAATTCGGAAGGTAAGGGCACACGCCGTGCCCGCTGAAGGAAACAACGAAGACCTTATTGCCGATCAGATGCGCCATGCATGCCACGGAGGCACGCCGTGCCTGACCCCGAGACACGCGTTTTACTCCGGAGGCACGGATGCCAGGCACGCCGTACCTGCATCCAGAAATCCCCGTTTGAGCTAAATATTTCCCATTTTCTATAAATAAGGTCTTCATTTCCCCGTTTGAGGGTTAAGGGAGCTTAGAGAGGGAACCAGGGACGAGTTTTTACGTATTTTTCCGCTATTTTCTTCTATACTCTAGGATTATTTGTAACTTTCAACTTTTTAATGAATGACAATTAATTCTTTTCATCCCAATTCATGATGTATGGCTAGTTTCTTGATGGTTTAAATTGCATGAATCTGTATTTAATTTGTGTATGAATGATTTAATTGATATCTCTCGTAACCTAGAACGGCCGCTAGAATTACAATTGTTTGTAGAATAAGTTAAGATAGATCTAATTTATTCTAGGACACCTTCACACACACTTAATCGTTCACTAAGAGATTAGTAGCGATTAAGGGGCCTTACGCTCACTCGTTTTGGCAATAATTTTAGATATATGTCGCATGAGACATCAGTGTGGTTCCCTAAATTATTGTACCCTACGCCGCGAGAACGGTTAGAACTTAGTATTGACCATCATTGCTCAATTAAATAATTTTCATTTGATTAAGCCTGATCAGCCAAAAATATGATTACCCCGGAATCAATCCATGTTCCCTATCGTCATTAATTAGAAAGTCCCCTTTAATTTTATCTGCTATTTCGCATTAGTTTTAATTTTCCAACAACCATTCTCGCACAATTGCATTTATTTTCAATCGCTGAATTTAATTAATTACTTGTTCCCTTTTTTCGTCCCTGTGGAGACGATACTCGTACTTACACCCTTTACTACGATCTATTTTAAAAGTAAGAAAATTCACATCAGTTTTCTTTAAAATAAAGAAAGATAAGTGGCAATACCCTCTATAAATATGATTTTTAGAGCTTTCCTGGAACCACACATTTAGGGGGCTATTAAGTCATGACCATGTTGTAGATATGAACATCTTATTGGAAAGTTATTCAAAAATCACAGTGTTTTTTATGAAACTAAAAATCCCATTTGTTGTTTATTAAGCAGTGTTTTACACTGCGTCAGTCAGACCAACCTCATAGCTGGCTTCCCTTCCCATATGAATTTCACCATAACAATCAGCCCTATTCAAATCTTGTAGGATCTATTAGTATAAACTTATTTGATTATTTCAGATGACATATATTCATCACATTTGTTCCTATAGCTTTTTTTACTGCCTCTACTTTAAGAACATACATTTGACATGGGAATTGGTATGGCCGGGGGACATTATCCATGCTAAACGAGGCCTCAGAAGTGATCATCAAGAACAATTAAAGAAAGTGAGGTTCGCTAATATCATATCCGGTTTGAGTAGCAGGCACTGAGATCAGAGAGACTACCAGCAGCTCAATTTTGAATAAAAAATTGTTAGAACAAAGAGTTCCCTTGTTCAATCTAAAGACATGTTTCAAATTTTTATATAGTTGCTCCCTGATCAGAACAGGACATATGCATTTTGAAAATATTAGTCCCACACAGGAAATATTTGAATCAACGAAGTGCTATATTAAGACATGAGTTACTCCTCCTATCACGTTGACCTTTTAGCATGGAACCTCACATCTTAACATGGTATCAGAGCCAAATCGATCCATGGTGTGGGCCCCTTATGAAAAATGATGACACGATTATTAAAAAATGACAATGACGAACCGACGAAAAAAAATGAATGACGACACAATCCAGACGAAGAGTCTTGTCATGAGGAGGTGTGTTACACCGGAAATATTTGAATCAACGAAGTGCTATATTAAGACATGAGCTACTCCTCGGTTGACCTTTTAGGTTGGAACCTCAGATCTTAACATGGAATCAGAGGTTCCATCCTAAAATGTCAACGTGGTAGGAGGAGTAGCTCATTTCTTAATATAACACTTCCTTGATTCAAATATTTCCGGTGTGGGACTTTAACACAAAAACTGCTTCCTAGTTTTGAAATTCATTTAGAAAGGTTAAAGTTTTGAAACACGAATTTAATTGTAAACATAAATGTTGAAATATTTACATATTACTCCGTAATATGCAGGTATTGCCTTTTGTCGAAATAGTGAATGAAATTATAATTAGTTGTCTCTTGATCCTGAGGTAGTTTTCTCATGAACTAATAGGCACAACTCCATAATTGGGTGATGTGCTTAGCAAAGGTATGAAGATTTGTGTGATTATCAACTTCTGAATACACTTCAAGAGGATGAGCACTGTACTTTATAAGTAGCATAGAAAACAGTGCTAAGGATGACTTCAAAAGGCTGAACAAGAGGTTGCTTATTTCACCACATGATGCCGAACTTAAAGAACAAATTAAGGAGGCTAGGAAAAGGGCTACATTCCTTGGTCAGGCTGAATGTAGTTTTTTCCAACAAAGGGCAAAAGCGACGCATATACTTCAAGGCGACAAGGGAACAAGATATTTCCATGCGATTGTCAAGCGTAATATGTCCCGGAATGCCATAACCTCCTTAACTTTGGAAGACGGCAGCCTCACAAAATCCGTTGATCATGTTGCTAATGAATTTGTCAAGTTTTTTGTGAATTTATTTGGTACCGAGATGGGGAACCTTTCTATTGACCATTCGGTTCTAGGAACCGGCCTTTTGATTGAACCAAGTGTTCATGATGGCCTTATCTCTCCGATAACTAACAAAGAAATTAAAGATGCTTTGTTTGATATTGGGGATGATAAGGCACCGGGGCCGGACGGTTATTCCTCGGCTTTTTTCAAGAAGAATTGGAATGTGGTTGGGGAGGACGTGATTCGTGCGACTAAAGAGTTTTTTAACTCGGGAAGGATGCTTAAACAGTTAAACCATACTGTGATAGCACTTATTCCTAAAACTAGTCACTCCCCAAAGGTCTCTGATTTTAGACCTATTTCTTGTACTAACGTGCTTTATAAGATTATTACAAAGATCATCGCGGCAAGAATGACCCCTACCCTCTCGGGTTTGATCAACAAAGCACAAGGTGCTTTTGTGGATGGCCGCCTTATGTTTGATAACATTTTCCTTGCCCAGGAACTTGTTAGAGGATACAATAGGAAGCGAATCTCACCCCGTTGTATGATAAAGGTGGATCTGCGTAAGGCCTACGATACGATCTCCTGGGACTTTCTTGCCAATGTTTTGAGGGGCTTGGGCTACCCCGAGCGGTTTGTTGGGTGGATCATGGAGTGTGTTTCCACCGCTTCCTTTTCTGTTTCTCTGAATGGTACTTTGCATGGGTTTTTTAAGGGAAAAAGAGGCATTAGGCAAGGGGATCCAATGTCCCCGCTGCTCTTTGTTGTGTGCCTTGAATATTTCTCACGGCTCTTGACCATGAGAGCTAATGTTTTTGGTTTTAATTATCATCCTCTTTGTGGTTCCTTGAATATTACTCACTTGGCCTATGCGGATGATCTTATGCTCTTTTCAAGAGGTGACAAACATTCCATTGGAATTTTGGTCAACGCTCTTAAAGAGTTTGGGGACGTTTCTGGCCTTAGAGTTAATCATGATAAGTCCAATATTTTCGTTGGTGGGGTTAATGGTTTTGACTTGCAGAATATTTTAGATCTTGTGGACTATGGTCGTGGGGTGTTCCCGGTGAGATATCTTGGGGTCCCGCTTGCACCGCTTAAAGTCTCTGTGGCTCAATATGCTCCCCTTTTGGAGACGGTTAATGATTTTCTAAAAACTTGGAATACTAAGACTATTTCCTATGCTGGTAAGCTTGAGCTAATTCGGTCTGTGATCCAAGGGGTCCAATCATTTTGGCTCCAGGTCTTCCCGGTTCCCATTACTATTTTGGATAGGATTGTTTCGATCTGTCGTATCTTTCTATGGGGTGGTAAGTATGCCAAGGTGGCCTGGGATGACATCTGTCTCCCTAAAGAGGAAGGGGGTCTGGGCATTCATAATGCCAAGGTGTGGAATCACGCCCTCCTCGCTCGCACCCTTTGGGACGTTCACATGAAGAAAGACACCCTTTGGGTGAGGTGGGTGAACGGGGTCTACCTTAAGTGTAGGACCGTGTGGGACTTTGTCCCACACACCCGGGACTCACAGCTCATGAAGCGGTTGAGTCTCATTCGGGATAAGATTCGGAGTTGCTTTAATAATTTGAATGATACTATCTTAGGCCTTAAATCTCGTACCACTAATGGAAAATTAGCCTCCGCTAAGATCTATGAATTGTTAAGAGTCAAGGGTGAAGTTAGGACTCCTATGAGTTTCATATGGAAATCCTACATCCCCCCAAAACTCTCTTTTAACGTGTGGTTGGCCTTGAGAAACCGACTTCCTACCCAGGATAGCCTTGGTTATCTCCACATTGTAAACAGGTGCGACTTATGCAAGGGTGGTTTGGAGACAATACCACACCTCTTTTTCCTATGCCCATTTACGTGTAGGATATGGCAGCAGATAAGGAATTGGATGGGACTCGGGCATGATATGACAACGTTGCTAAGTGCAATTAAGTGGATCACGAAGACTCATAGAGGATCGAATATGAAGGCAAAGGCTGCTCGTATTGCTTTTTGTGCGACAGTTTACTACATTTGGCATGCAAGGAACGAAGTTAGATTTGATGATGGCAAGAAGACGGAGGAGGACATTATAGCAAAGATCAAACACGTGGTTTACAAGATACTCTTTGGTATCTACCCGCATGAGGTGGTCACCTTTTGACATGGACGCTTTGAAGCCTCGGCTTTTATGGATTTGTGGATCTGTGTGCGTGCAGTCTTGCAACATCGATTTGTTTTTGACGTGTTGGGGCATTTAGTATTGTATACTTAGGCCCCAGTTTTGATTTTGACTTTGGGATTAGATCAAATAAAAACCTCTCCCAATCCCTACATTAGGTAGGGGTGGGAGGCTTTAGGAGATCTTGAACCTTTTGATGTATATTTTCTTGGGTGTTAATATATATTTACATTTCATCCAAAAAAAAAAAAAAAAGCATAGAAAACAGTGAAAATGTTTATTATTTTTAAAGGTGTGGTAATGCCTCAACCTCCTCCTCCTGATGATGATGATGATAATGATGATGATGATGAAATGATAGGATTTCCTTAAATTTTACAAGAGTCAATTTGCTACAAAACGTGTTTACACTACTATCAATAAACAAGGTGGTGTAATTACTGATTTTTCCACCATTGTCAATGAGAATGTTTATTGAACTCATCTATTTAAGCTATTGAGCAAATAGGCTAATCCATGTGCCACCTACTGGTTAGTGTGACTTCTTCAGCTTCAACAATAAAACCAATCTCCAAAAAAAAACAACACCTAAGGAATCTCGAGTTTTACCTTGTAATAAAACCATGCAATGTGAAATCACATGATTTGTTTCCTAATAATATAGAGAAGGCTTTCTATCAAAAAAAGTGGTTTAATATGGATATCCCCATCTGCACAAGATTCATTGAAGAATGTGGGGGATGATGTTTAAATACAGACAATTTTTATTGTACTGATTTATTATATTCTTTTGGAAAGACAAAAGCATCTGTTGGTGTCTCTTATTTTTGCAAGGTGGCAGGCCCTTCCATGTAAATTGTTCTGAGCCACTCACTCAACCCCCCTCCCAATGGATCTGTATATAACCACAACTGCACTTGGTATTCTCCCACAATCAAAACACATTGTTCACACAACTCCAAAAAGAACCTGCATTTTACAAATAGTCTTCTATAGCTCATAAAAACAAGAAACATTCAACCAATGGCAGTTAGTATGGCGAAAATTCTGTGTGCTGCTAAACCAAGCATCAGGTCATCTTCAAGATCTAAGGGTCACTTAGCTGTTTATGTCGGTGAGTGTGATAAGAAGCGTTTTATTCTTCCGATATCATACTTGAAGGAATCCTCATTCCAAGATTTGCTCGGTTAAGCTGAGGAAGAATTCGGATTTGATCATCCAATTGGAGGAATCACTATACCTTGCGCGAAGGCTGCTTTCCTTGAGATCATCTCTAGCTCAAGTTAATCATCACTATAGAAAGAAGGATAGTTGGCTTAGATTAGTGCATGTAGTTAACAATATTTTTGGGTAACAGAGTTACCTTTACAATTCTTTTATACTCCGTACAATATACTCTAACTTCATCCTACAGCTACACTTTTGTTTTGGAGCTTTTTCTGAGTTGTCTTGTTACTCACAACACAGTAAGTGAAGCTAATACATACAATATGGAAAAGTCTCATGTAAATCAAATCTTGAGCATGGAATTTATTCGTCGACCAAGTAAATGAAGTAATGAATGAAAAAACATTTACATTAAAAAAAATATTCCTATAATCCTTTTTCTTTGCCAAAGAAAAACATTACATTTGTTCTGCAAAGCAATACTATGAGCTGCGGAACTTACCTGAGATCCGACACATTAAAATAATCATTTGACACTGGAATGGGCATGGGGCACATTTACCTTGTTAGGCCAAGCCTTAAAAAGTGTTCTTCAAACAAAAAAAATAGAGAATGTGATAAGAGGCACTTCGTAATTCACATGGGAGAAGAAAAATGAAACGCTTTGACATTCCCATGTCATACTTTCTACTTCTAAGACTTCCTAATACACTCTGAGGAAGATTTTGGATTTGATCATCCAAATATCCAATTGGTGAAAGCACGGTGCATGTCCTCGAAGGCAGCTTTCTCAACATCATCTCCCATTTGAGTAGTGATGGTACACCTTGAGAGACCCAACATGCAGCTCACTTTATTTCTTGCTTATAGACGTTTCCTTATCTACCAATGAGATACTATAGTTTTTTATTAAAGCATTCAGATGTCGAACTATCTACCATTTTTTCCATAAACTCAGACTACCAAGAATGTTAAGATATTCTCATATGATACAGCTTCTTGATAAATTGTGTGATTATTATTTATTATATTCTGTATACTGCAAGAGGATGTGTAATATTAAAGTATCATAGGAATAGTGAAAATTAATTATTTTTAAATGTATGGTAATATGTCTTCATCCACCTATAAGAATCGATATAAATTAGAAACATATTGTTAGAATTATATGTTCAGTTGGTCTACACACCCCCACACAAACCAGTACAAATGATTGAATTCTTTTTCTGTCACAGTTGAGTAATTGAATAAATAGAAACCAAAACACTCAAGAAAAGTGTGAAAGGCTATAAGCATGCTTCAATTTTTCATTAAATTACTGCCTAAAAAAATTTAAAGACATTGGATTTTTCTACATTTCACAAGGGACATCAGGGTTCTAACATTTTATTCATACGCATTTGAAATCATTTACGATAGAGCTAAACTTTTTTCATTTTATTTACACGCATTTGAAATCATTTGCATTAGAACTAAACTTTTTTCAACGTAAGTAAAAACTCACACTATCATGTGATGTATACATGTGAATTTTTGATGCAATAATGTAAATGACCAACTTACACTAGAAGTAAATTCCTTTACACCATTCTGTTAGTAGATGCATCAACAGAAAATGTGAAATCACTACGCTTAATATTCTAAGTAGTTTCAGGAACAATTTGTGCATTCACCATTTTCAGGAACAAATTGTACATTCATCTTTACTTCAAGGGAGCTACTCCCATGACATGATGACACCATCACATACTCATGCACACCTCAACTTCATGTCTAAAAAACCAAACCAATATACTGTATTTCTTATGGTAACTGACTGATGCAATATAATGAAACATTCTCTTTTTTCACATGGCCTGAAAATCTGAATATAATTCTACTACTCCAAAAACAATTATGATTTTACATTGTCTACAACTCAATACACTACCGAAACAATTATAATTTTACATGAGTACAGTTTGACGTGGAATTTCATGAATGTATGAGGGAGCGCGCTAAAAGAAAATAAAGTGTGCCTTAAGGGTTTGGATTATTGGTATATTTGGCCAGATACCAGTATATGATTTTTTCTTAAGTTGCATGATATCTCTCTTTTTGGCAGAACTCATTGGAAATGAGAAGGAAGGCTTGGAAGGCTGAGATACAAACCATACCATCATGAGTCGCAAAGAAGCGCACTGACTTATCATCCAATTCAAACTGCATTTTTGTTGTCAAGTTTCTTTGGTTCCATTTCTGTTTCTCTGATGGCTCCTTCTGTCCCGTCCTTGTATTGGTACCATTTGGAACATAGTAAGAAATATGCCAAATTTAGGACCCCTAGGCCTGTGACCAAGAAATAGAAGTAATCCAACCTCCCCTTATTGAGATCTTCAGGCAGCCAGTTCCCAGTTTTCGCGTTTTCTGTGGTTCTATGCACAATGGAGATCAAGAAGCTGTTTAGATAGCTAGACGCGGCCATCCCCAAAAAGAAAAAAGACCCTGCGACGCTCCTCATGTTCTCTGGGAACTGCTTGTAGTAGAACTCTACCAGACCAATGGCAGTGAATGCCTCGGCCAGCCCTGCTAAGGAGAGCTGAGGGACCAACCACATAGCAGACATGGAAGAAACATTACCACCTTTCAGCATTGGCTTTGTTAGTGCAATGTGCCTTCTGCGTTCCTCTACGAAGGCTGAAACAAATGATGCCACCACAGAAAGGCCAATGCCAATTCCAAGTCTTTGTAGCAGAGTGATGCCCTCTTCTTTTTTGGTATATCTGTGAAGTCATCCAACACAAAACAAATATAAATATCCAGACCAGCCTAGAATATGGATACTTAACCTTTCTGATGTATAAAAAAATGAATATGGATATTTGATCTTAAGCTATTTTCTTCTTAATTTCTTATGCTAACTTTTCGGAAGAAACTGCAAGTCAAATCAACAATTCTTTTTTATTTGAGCTGTCACCTTACAAGGCATATTTATCCATCTTGTATTGAATAATTATTTAAATTCAAACATGACATATAAAGTTTCAGGTCTGGATATACCTCCTTAGAAAGGGGACGATGAATCGGTCGTAGAGCGGGACAAAGAGGGTGAGACTTAGCATTGAGAAGATTGAGTATGTTGCAGCTGGGATTTGGAATTTGGGGCCAAAGTGCCTATCAGATTGTAGGGCTTGGAACACTCCATATTGTGATTGTTGTGATAGGGCAATGTGGAATAGTATTGCGGATGCCCAAATTGGGATTACTCTGAACACACATTTGGCCTCTTCCACTTGTTGAAGACTGCACAGTCTCCATGGATTGGCAGATGATCCTTCTACTTTCAATTTATCTTCTTCAGTCATTATTGCAGCCTTGTCAAGAAATCTGAAGCCAATGGCATTTTGATTAGTCAAAAGGAAACAAGTTCACAAAATTTGGTTGTGTCAAAATGTAAGAAGTTTAACTACTTGTGTGCCTACTCTTTAAATGAAAATGGTCCAAATATAAAAGAAAGGTGGATTTCCTTTAAAATAATATAAAAGATGGCCAGAATATAAAAGAAAGGTGAATTTCCTTAAAAGGAATAGATGTAGTCATGCAGAAAATTTCATTTGAGTAAGAAAAAATCTCTTATTTTATTACTATTATTGTATTATCTTATAAGTAATGACTATCATCATCATTGGTTGGTGATTAAGTAGTACAAATATGAAAGTTAATTGTGTTGTTGTTGGTGTTTTGGGTCAGCAGACGTAGTAGAGTTTACTACGGAGTACTATCTACACTCTTAAATAATTACAAGAGGTTAACTTATACACTATTGGCTTACTACTTTTACTACATTTAATTAATTTATTAACATGTTTTTAAACATATTAATTGTTACTTTTGGCGCAATTTAAATATTCAAAACATGATTATTTTTTATTTTTACTAACAATCATTTAAGAGCCCGTTTGGTAGCACGAAAATCGGCTGTTTTGGCTGATTCTGCTGAAATTTATGAAATTATGGCTGAAGTGGCTGTTTTGGCTGTTTCTGCTGATTTGAGTAAAAATTATTTTTAAAATATATTTTATTAATAAAATAAAGAAAAA